ACTCGTGGAAGATCGGATATCTTTTCCTCGCGTGTTACAGAAAAACCTCGCTCCTTCGTCGCTCGGTTTTCAGTAACCCGCTTGGAAAAGATATCCTTATCTTCCACTCGGAGCCATGAAGAATCCTCTATGTGAACGAAATTCAGCTGTGCATTTCTTCTGATATGGGTATTTAATATTTACGTTGTTCGAAATACAGTGTAACACGACAAATAACTTATTGTGACTGGTGACGTTCAGTTCGCTGTTGGTGTGCCGTCGAAAATAAACACGAGAAGAAACTCGCTGATATGACTTTTATTGGTCACTGATACCAGTATCACTGTCATCGATATCACTATCACTACTCACACACGGAAGTTTCGAAATCAAAGTCCCGCGAACAGCGCATCCCTGATTATCGAATTTTTGTTTAAATATTTTTGATGGCGATGTTAGCTGATCTCATGTGTTATTGTGACCTTAGGTGACCTGGAATGACAATTTTTGCTTGTTCAACGTGAAAAGCGTATGTGGTAAACTTATGTGCCACATACGCCAATTGGCACTCTGCTCCAATCCTTATCCTCAGTCAAGTGTTGCTCTTCAGCCACACAATATCCTTGATTTTTATGGACTGTGGGAGACATATCGCACACTTGCTGACGATTTCCGGGCTGTTGACAACCTTTCTACGCGACTCTCGAAAACCGTTCTTCACTGTTGTCTATCCGTCGCCACCGGCCACCGTCGTGGGCCGTCGTAGGCCACCAACATGAAGTCTTTCACTGTCGCTTACTGTCGCCGGCGCCGACTGCGCTGTGGTGTGCCACAGACTTACTCCGACTGTCGCTAAACGCTAACCGTCGCCGGTTGTCGCTAACTGTTGTATACCACATAAATACACCGCTCCACTGTCACTGTCGCTAACTGTCGCCCACTGTCGTGTGTTACCGACATTCTCCCTACTGTCGCTAGCCATTGCTGACTGTCGCTTAGTGCTGTACACCACATGCACTCCCCCACTGTCGCTGACTGTTGCAAATTGTCGCTAACTGTCGCCAACTGTCGCCAACTGTCGCTGACTGTCTATAGCTGTCGCTAGCTGTCGCCAAGTGTCGCTGACTGTCGCCGACTGTCTATAGCTGTCGCCAATTGTCCCCCACTGTCCCCTACTGTCGTTAACTGCTGCCAACTGTCCATAACTGTCCCCTACTGTCTCCTACTGTCGCCAACTGTCACTGACTATCTATAGCTGTTCCCTTTTGTCGCCGACTGTCTATAATTGTCCCTGACTGTCGCTAACTGTCCCCTTCTGTCGCCTACTGTCGCCGATCGTCATGTGCCGTCGCGTGACCCGTACACGCGGCGACGACTGTGTTACTTTCGCCGCCGATGCCCCACCAACAACATTCTCCGTCGGGCCGGCGGCGCCTCCCAAACCGGTCCGGAGGCATTCGCCCGACGCTCCACCCACCAAAACATGATCATGACGGCAGTGCAAACGTGCACAGTGCACAGTGGACGGCGCACAGTGGGTGATTCAATGTGAAACTGGGGTCAAAGTGGTAGAGTGGGCAGTGGACGATGGACCACTAAAGGTAGAGCTTGAACTGGAACAGTGGATATTTATAAATTTATTATGCATCTTTACTCGACAGCGCACAGTTGATGGTGCACAATGCACCATAAGCTATTGGCAATGCACACTGCAGAATGGATTAGACGGTGCACAATGGAAAATCTTTTGCATTGTGCACTGTGCAGTAATGGAGGCAGTACAGAATAAACAATAAACCGTGGGGTGTGGACGATATACAATACACAGTAAGCAGTTACAATGCACCGTCAACCCTGAATAGTGCTTACTGCTTACCTAATGGACAGTTTGCATTGCAGATGGACTAGACATTGCAAAGTTGACAATGCACGCGAATAGTTAGAAAGTAGTCAAAACTACTTTCTAACCTTTCTAACCTTTGAAGGGACCCTCCCACCTTAACATTAGTTTTGAGTTGAGATAGCCAAATTGGTGGCCATGGCCTGCAAATACCGGTTTGGGCACTCACAACATCGAGAAATGCTTTAATTCGAAGATATGGAGTTTCAAACTTGCAGTTTTCGGATTCTAAGGGGCTAATGCATTGGTATCAGTGGCGCAGCCAGGATTTGGTTTCGGGGGGGTCATCGCCTCCAAAGCGGGCCCCCTAGTGTGCGGGCCCCCACCCATTTTTTCAGAATCTTTCCATATTTCATACGCATTCTGCTGAGCGGGCCCCCTTTACCTACACGATAACCCTGAGCGAGTTTGAATCGGAAAATTTTGATAGAACAATGGCTCGGTAATCACCCGACCGGTGTTCAATTTCTACGCGAATTGACCATGACAGAAATATGTTACTATGAGGTACGAATTCGTATCTTTCGAGGCCGAAATGTGCCCCTTCCGCAATATGCATAGCATATACGCTAACAGAGCTGTTGCCTGCTTCTATCGGACAATATTTAAGTAGTCCCATTTGCCTGTCCTAAGTCATCTATTGGCTGCATAGTAGATTGTATCGACAGAAATATGTTACTACCAGTAAAACGCCTTTTGGGCGAAGAACGAGCGAGCGAGATAGTGAGCCCTGCACGTGCGGAAGGGCGAGAGGGTACTTCCAACAGGCTTGTGCATTTGCAAAGCACCCTTCTAACCGGTCGCTAGCGGTGCGCCAAATTTGAACGCGATCGGCCCAGCCGTTCCTGAGATCAGGAAGCGGCATTCTGCACTGCGCACGTGCGAACGGGGTCCAAACTGACTTTTGCACGGCACCCTACTAACCGGTCCCCAACCGTGTACCAAATTTGAGCGCAATCGGCCCAGCCGTTCTCGAGATCTGGAAGCACCCCGCTGCACGTGCGCACGTGCAGTAGCACCCTAACCGCAACACATGGGATCGCATTGCCTGTTGGGTGCCTACCTGTATGCCAAGTTTCAGCGAAATCGCCCCAGTAATTACCGAGTTATTGGAATGGGAACAAATTTGGCACCTCTTTTTTTTGTATTTTGCACGTGCAGTGGGGGTCACCCACATAGATCAACAGTACCCGACCTTTGGTAGAAGGGATGCAGCTACCCTACAAAAATTACAGCGAGACAATCGCCCAAGCGGCCCAGTTCTCCCGGGGCCCCGGACCCATCCACGGGAAGCCCGGGCCCTATCTGCAAAGGGGGGCCCGGCCCCGTTCTCCCAGGGGCCCGGGCCAGTTCTCCCGGGGGCCCGGGCCCGTTCTCCCGGGGGCCGGGGCCCGTTCTCCCGGGGGCCGGGGCCCCATCCAACCGGGGATCCGGGCCCCGTCCACCCGGGGCCCGGGCCCCGTTCTCCAGGGGCCCGGACCCATCCACGGAGCCCGGGCCCCATCCACCCAGGGGGTCCGGGCCCGTTCTCCCAGGGGCCCGAGCCAGTTCTCCCGGGGGTCCGGGCCTCGTCCATCCGGGGCCCGTTCTCCCGGGGTTCCGGACCCATCCACGGGGGCCCGGGCCCCATCCACACAGGGGGTCCGGGCCCGTTCTCCCAGGGGCCCGAGCCAGTTCTCCCGGGGGCCCGGGCCCCATCCAACCGGGAGTCCGGGGACCCCGTCCACCCGAGGCCCGGGGCCCGTTCTCCCGGGGGCCCGGACCCATCCACGGGGGGCCCGGGCCCCATCCACTCAGGGGGCCCGGGCCAGTTTTATCGTCCGGTTAGATTAGGACCTCTCTCCTCCCTCCCTCCCTCCCTCCTTCCTCCCTCCCTCTCTCTCTCTCTCTCTCTCTCTCTCTCTCTCTCTCTCTCTCTCTCTCTCTCGAGCGGGCCCCTGACAGAAATTTCGGGGGGGTCAGCTGACCCTCTGACCCCCCCCCTGGCTGCGCCACTGATTGGTATGCCCCCTTAGAATTTGTGACGTCAGCGGAGATCTAACGATTTTTAAATCTTAGACTAAAACCATCGTTAACACGTGGTGGTATACGCTGCTTTGCGCGCAACGTCTGCCGCACTTTAAGGCTGCCAAATTATTGCTTCCAAATAAAGTCGCTAGTGACAGGGAGATCCCAAAAAGTAAACAAAAGTAAAAGCCTAATATCTTGAAAACCAGTGAATATTTTTCGGTGAAATTTGGTAGATATTCGTTTTCGCTCTTTCTGAACCAAGGGACATCACTTTCATGCCAATTCATTAACTTTTTTGAAGGTGGGAGGGTCCCTTTAAAGGGACTATCCCACCTTCTAAAATGTTGTTAAAACCAGTTAAATTGTGCCCGACTTTATAGATTGGATGACCAGGAACACGGTTCTGGCATTTATTTTTCATTAAACATCTTAGGCTTCCCATATTCCAAACACAAACTTTCAAATATGTGACGTCACAGCCCAAAATTACCTCCTTCCCCAGGCCACCTTACTGTCATAAAGCTGATTCTTTTTACTCTGTAGGCACCACAACAAAGTTCAGACCAAGTTTTAAGCGATTTTTCAACGAACAAACCCATTTAAATCAGAATGAATAAACGAGGTGACGTCACACTAACGGTCGCTCCATGTTGAAGATAGGGCCTTGTACAAGGCCCATTTTCAAATGAAGGGAACGAATTTCTTCAACACCAAGAGGCCGCGGGGGTTGCAACCTAGATAGATAGTGGTTTCTGAACCTCGCCGCAAACTTGGCTATCTCAACTCAAACCCCATGTTAAAGGTGGGATAGTCCCTTTAACCTACTTTCATACCTGGTCAAAACCAGAGATGATGAAACAAGATAGTGATCAATCTTCAGGTTTTTTGTTCCACCAGGCATTTCCTGAACCAATGGTAAAATCTCGTTTACAAAGATAACCTACTCGGGCGACAATATCAAAGAATGTTGATGCAATATAATATCCATCATAATACAAACGGTCACTACTCACTACCTTAGTCTTTTCAGCTTCCAGACAGCAGAATCGGCAAGGAAAAGTAACCTTCTCACTCCTATTTCCATCGCTAGATGTCACTAGTTTAACACTATTTTTCCTGTTCTGCCGCCAGGTGTCTCCCCAGTCGACTGCCGAGCCGCCTGCAGTGATACAGAACGCCATGGCGACCAAGGACAAGAAACCCTTCAGCTACCTGCCCGTGGGAGGTTTCAGCGCCACGGGGCTCAATTCTGAACTCAGCATCTCAGAGCAGCGACTCACTAAAGCTCAGGAGGAGGGAGGCGACGGAACGGACTCTGCTGCGGGTGTTGCCTCTACGTCAGGTGACGACACTCGCGTTGAGTCGGGAAGCGGAAGTGACATTGGAGTGGGAGATTCTGCACCTGTAGGTGGCGCCCCTCCCCCTCCGCCCCCACCCCCTCCTCCTCCCCCACCCCCACCCCCAGCCTCCAATGCCAGTGTCCGAAGCCAGCGTTCAGTTCCCTGGGCTCAGAATCTATCCCGTCACCGCGGTACTGACGCATCACAACCTACAACTACAGCAGCAACTTCAACTGCAAGTGCCCCCAAGGAGAAACCTTCTCAGCGCTGGGGAGCTGCTCCAGTTCCGACAGAGGCGCAGCTTCAGACAGCACTGAGGCAGACATCAGCCGGAGAGACTCTACGCAGGGAGGCTGCGGCTGCGGCTGCTGTTATTTTGGCACGGACGGCGGCAGAAGAAGCGACGCAGAAAGAGGCTCAGAGAGAGACGCAGAAAGAGACGACGCCGACGACTCGGATGGTTCCCGCACCGGCATCATCGCTGCAGCCGACGCAGCCGATGGTGAAGGCGAAAGCAGCGACGCTGCAGCGTCGGGTAGGACCCGCGTCGTCTTCATTCGATGGAGAGATGAAAGCTGGAGGATTGTCGCAGAGGAACAACACGCTTCCGAGGCAAATGAAACTATCCAATCAGCATGACTCACAGGGACGGCAGGGAAAAATGACAGCGGCTGGACAGAAGAATGTCGCCTCGAAGCAGACTCCGCCCGTTTCTGCGTCAACTCAACCTAGCTGGACTGTGAATTCTGCTGCCACTCCCACAAACTCTCAGCCGAATGGCAGAGGCGGAAGGCAGTCGACCTCACCGTCCGCTGATGCGCAGGTGGCGCCACCAGCTGCAGCGGTCACTGGACAGGTGGCGCAGCTATCGCAGCGCTGGCCGCCGGCCGCTGCGGGTCAGGCCAGCCGATCGTCGCCCCCTAAGGCGGATCAGGTTGTCCTGAACCAGACTGCTGTGAAGCAAACGAAACAGAAAAACGCCAGCCAAAATCAGCGAGGTGTGCAGAAGACTGAAGCCTCGTCAACTACAGCCAAACAGACCTCAGCTGTTCAACCCGCTTCGAGCCACGTAGCCGCTACCCAGGCACCCACGGGCCACGCAGCCACAAATGGCCACTCTGTACCCCACCAGGTCCCTCTCTCCCAGTCAGCTCTAGCCGCTCTGCAGCAGAACGCCGACCAGACAGCAGTGAAGATCGCCGCCCATCCTCCGTGGAGAGTCACCAAAGGCAGTGGTAGTGCTGCCTCGGGAGCATCGGCACCCGCCGCGACCCCGACCCCTGCTGTGGCTTCGGGTCAGACTTCGGCTTCGGCGCGCGGTCAGCTTTACATCCCGCCCGTCTCAAAGCCAGCGTCGGCGGCAGAAGCGCTGGCCTCGCCTCCGCCACGCGCCTCGGCTGCGGCGCCCTCCTGGCGGCAGGTGCGACCGGCAGGTCAGGCGGGGTCAGCGACAGTGACCTCGGCTCCCGCGGCGGCTCACACGGGTGGAACGCTGAGGTCTCAGACTAAGGCACGGCCGGCCGGCGGGCAGCAGCAGCAGCAGCAGCAGCAGCAGCAACAGCAGCAAATTCCTATGGCTGTCATGGTAAGGACCAAGGACTAAATGACAGTGCTTTCTTTTCAGCTTGGTGTTCGCTTTTACATCTAAATTTCAAGGGGCCGCCTTATTAGGGCCCAATTAAGTCTCTTGCATAAATATTGCGATCGTTGTTCATGAGTTTGATTGGATGCTTTATTGAATGGATGCTTTGTGAGCTAATGCTTTGCGTGTCATGAGAAATGAGTGGTTACTTCTCAATAACTATCCCTGTTTTTATATATGTATGTGCTGACTGACTTCTTTCATTACAAATTGGTGCCAAACATTGTTTAGTAATTAGTTTATACTTTCTTGCATCGCTTGCATCCAGCTCGACCGTCTAAATATCCCCGTCGTAGGCACGCCACCCAACACACGCGGCCGTCACCCGAAGCTAAGCTTTCCGTCTCTGCCGACAGACGTCGCGTACAACTACAATCCCCCTACAGATGAGAATGGGACCGGACGGAAAGCCCCAAATCAGCATCGGCGGACGTCCACTGAAGGTCACTGACGAGGGTGTACAGTTCCCCGTGGAGTTGTTCTTCCCGCCAAACGGCGGACAGCAGAACGGGACCAGGTATAACTCGCGCACCTCCTAATACGTGCACGTGCGCACGTGCGAGTGTTTGGAGCCAGGAGGGGGAGGAGAGTGACTTTTTACAGCTGCAACGTCCTTTTTGAAAGTGACGTCACTGTAAATAAACTGCGATATAAACGCAGTGTGTACTGTGTGATGCGTGGTGCTATTACGTACCGGACCAATTAAACAGGTCTGGGGCATGATGACGTCATAAACTGCTAGTGACGTCATCGGGCCTATACTGCTGCTTCCGCGAGACTGTAAAACCGGCTGTCTTATGTGTGCGTGTGCTGACTTTACTTATCCGCTTCCCTTGTAACAGGCTTCTTTTAGAGACACCCGTGTCAAACGAAGTGCTAGTGACGTAATGACATTGTTAAAATGGTAATCGCAGGTGACATTGCCTTTTTATTTACGCATGACCGTTTAAACAATGAAAAGTAAATATGTAAGGCGGTTTCATTGAATTTCACTTATATTTCGGCGGTTAAATCAAAACTGGCACATGTATCGTGGAAAAACCACGGCAGCAAAGGTTTTGCGGACGGAAAATCATTACGCCGTTCGACCATATGCGGCGGAACGGGGAGGGCACCGGGGTACCGTGCGCCACTTTCATTTTGGCATTTTAACCTTAGCCCTAGGTCGTTGCGTGGAAAGCATGGGACCAAAAGTGGGCAGTGCCCCCCCCCCCTTAATTTAACCCTCGCCCGTAAACGGCGATCTGCCACCTTCGCCCATGCAGGGGGGGGGTTGGTGCGACCCCCCCCCTTGGCGTTTGAAAACGGAGCGTCGTAGAGCTTAGCGGAAAAAACCAACGGATTGCTCTCGCCGAGATCTCGCGATTGGTGGTATATTTTTTGGTCCTAGGTCAACATTTGACCTACTTTTGACCGGTCAAAGGTCAAATTTTCGGAAAAATAGACTTTTTTCAACTTTCCGCGGCGATTGCGGCAAAACGGTGGGAGATATCGACTTCAAACCTTCACTATCGTGTTCCTTGATCAATTCTCTATCGTTTGGTATGTATTTCGTTTCCCTAGCTCTAAAAATGGCGCGTTGGGAGCGCCGGAAGTCGGCAAGGTCACAGTTGGCGGCAGAAATTCGAAAAATCAAAATTTAAATTTTTGAAATCTGATTGTATTTTTGGATTTGGAAGGTCCATTTGCTCCCTATAGAAGCTAATATTGCTGCATATTCCCATTGAGGTGACAAGAATTAGCAAAATAGTGGTTCGGGCGCTTTTCAAAAATAGTACCGGACGCTGTTCCTCTTGTGACGTCATAGATCCGTGACCTGACCTGACCCGGTCAAGTTTCTTATACCATATGATAGCCAATACTTGCCCCAACATGCATGGGAAGTTTCATCACGATCCATCAACCGATGTCCGTACCACCGGCAGGAAACCTCGGGCGTTGGCACTCAGTTTGTGAAAATCCGGCCGGAGGCTGTTCCCTTTGTGACGTCATAACTCCGTGACCTGACATGACCCGGTCAAATTTTTTTTATCAAAAGATGCGCAAGGTTTGCCCCATAAGGTACCCAAAATTTGGCGGCGCTGCGCGCCGCCGTTTTTGCACTATTTCCGAAAAACCTCAGGGGGGGGTTGCACCAACCCCCCCCCCTACATGGGCGAGGGTTAAGGTGTTCCGCCGCTACTGCGTTCGACCTGAACAAATACCTGCCGACTTCGAATGACAACTCACGGCAGGTGGTGACTAAGATGGCCTGCTTTTATGTTTTCTGTTTCACACTGTGCCTTCAAGTTTTGCGTGATGGAATGTTCTAAGAGTAATTTTAGGAGTCAAACTGTTTCACTCACTACCTTCATAGTTACTACAGGTAGGGACATGTGGCTTTCTGTCTTTCAAATAAGACGATGTAGAGACAATCCAGGGTGTGTGATTTGCTATAATGCTGCATTAGTAGTTAAGTCTGACGGCAATGAAGCTTTCTTTTACTGTTCCAAATTAAGCGATCATTCAGTTACTGGCACCTTCAATTCGACCGCCTAAGCTATTAGATGATTCTTTTTAGATGCCTGTAAATATAATATATCGTTTTATGAGTGTAACACTGTATAAGAAAAGAGCGTATTGTGATATATGTTTGGATGATCTAATTAAGCGTGCCATGAGGTGACTTTCATTTGATAGAATGTAGAGACTAGAGACCGCATCACAAGAGGAGTGCTGTGATTTTTCTGACCGAAACAAAGCGAACTGTTTTACCGCGAGCGAATCCGTGAATTCGGTCATGATTTGTGTACATATTTGCATGTAACTGCCTGCGAGTGGTTTGTATCATTTACTTGGCTATGCTGGCGAGATATCCGAAATATGGCGTGTGCTCTTTGCTGACGACGCTATAAGAGAATGGCTTCATGATGTGTTAAGCTTACTAACCTACCGCTTCTCAGATTGCGTTCAATAAACGTACTTTTTATTGTTTCGAATTTCTTTTAAGAGATTTTAGCGTTGTGAGGAAAATCATTATGATGATTATGAACATATTTGATTGACCGAATCCTCAATATAATCTGAATAAAATGACAATTTAGCCAAATTCGGGTATATTCGATCACAGATCTTTGTCATTTTATTCAGATTATATTGAGGATTCGGTCAATCAAATATGTTTCGAATTTCGTTGCGGAGTCGTTTACTCGTGGGTACAGTGTTTTCATCGTGGACGTGATCTACGCTGGTAGTCTCACTCAGAGACCCGAGACCTTTCTGGTGGGTCTGAAGGGACAGGCCGCCAGATAATTTTGACGCACTCGAGTTAAAACGTGAATTCGCCGTTTTACCAACAGGATACGAGCCATAAGCCACTCACACTGCGTAGCCTCATCTGCATTCACGGGAAATCCGCATACACTGCATTCATCTTTCAACGATAGACCATGCATTAATGCTGGATTTTTCCCTGAAGCTAAAACTCTTCTAAAACCCCCGAAGCTAAAGCAGCTAAAAGATAACTCGTTGAAGGTCCAACATTTAGTAATAAAGTAAAAGTCATTCAAATAAACATACGACATACCGATTCAATGAAGTTGGATAAAATGCTGTACATCGTAACACTTCATTGGGCCACACCGTTGCAGCTCTGCAATTCGGATTGAAATTTTCCAAATGTCCTGGATATTTATTCGCAGTTCATTTACTTTATGTCCAGTTTTGTCACCTGAAAACGTCGCCCTCTCAGCAGCCGATGTCAGATGGGCGATTCTGTGCCATTTGGCGCTGCCGGAGACAGGCAGGGCCAGGTGCGTGCTTTTGGGTCAACCCGCCCAGATAAAACCCGATGGCCTTGGGGCAGACAGGTGACAGCGAGCCGGATAAATCACCACCACCGCTGTCAGAAACTGCGCCAAAACCCTCTCCTCTCTAAGAGTGTAGTTTTCCGCAATTCTCAGCGATAACGAAAAAAGAGTTGACCTGATGACCCGGTTAGGTCGACTCGAGCGTGGTTCTTTTTTGTTGTGGGATAAGAAACAGGTCTGTGCTACGTTTGGCCAGGTGCCACTATGTGCGCTCTGCTTCCGTGGAGTGACAGTTAAAGCCTTAGAACCAAGTGCAACTAAAATCAGGCTTGTAGGTCCAAGAGGCATTGGGTACATTTGCTCCTCCTTCAGCGTCAATTTAAGAAATTGAGCCGTTTTCCTTGTTTATGTAGAAGACTAAACAACTTAGACAAAATGTTTCCTCTCAATTACAAATCAACACACAAGGAATCATAATTTGACATAACCTGTAAAAGCGTTTTGAACTGCTAATGTGTGGGAGGATCAGGCCCCTCAGTCGTTTGGCCCCTGATTGAGCTAGAGCTTCACGAAAAGTGCGAGCGTATTGCTCGTGCCGGGAAGAGGCCGATGTTGCGTAGTTATATGGTCCAACTCTATTTACTGAGCCTGTCCCGTAGCTCAGTTGGTAGAGCGTTGGACTCCGCGTGGTAAGAGCACGCGTCCCGGTTACAAAAAACCGGGTTCGAAGCACGACGGGCGCTTGACGTTTATGAGCCTCCTGACAGGTATGGTTACGGTTGGTGGCAAGCCGTAGCCAAACGAAGTTAGTGAGGGGGCCAGCTGTGCGCGGCTATGTGCTCACGTTAAACTTTGGACTTCAAATTCTGTTATAGAACCGGCATTGCGCGATCGGAAGGTAAAGCGCAGGGTCACCGCAACAAGCTTCGCTTAGCGTGGGCTCTGTCCTTGTAAATCCTTCCATTCAAAAGATTTGTACCAAAGTTACAACAAAAATAGCTTGTAGGTCACCGGCTGACTTCCAGGTCATGTCAATGACCCGAATATCCGTGAAACGCTTGTAAAAGTGTAGCCGTGCAGCCATCCAGGCCTGTCCCGACTCGCTCTCTCGCGCTGCTTGGAGCGAACTCGACCCCCAGCGCGCGGTCACCCGCTGGTGACGTCACGGCCCCTCCGGCGAGGTCAGGTCAGGTCAGGTCGCCGCCCTGCGCCGGAGCTAACCGGCGTGGTTCAGAGATGGACGGGGGTTGGTAGGAGCATGCTGCACTTCTGATGCGTGACATTATGAGTGACATTTACTGACCAGCAGGATACGATATACAAAGTACACAGGTAAGGAATTTGGGAGTGTCTCAGTTAAGGACTTTGGATGTATGTCAGGTAAGAAATTTTCGAGCATAGTTCAATGCTCTATTTAAGATTGGAACAACTTTTTGTATTATCAATTTAGGTGTCAAAGTTTGTTGCTAAAGATCTTTCTCACGTTTTCAGAAGCAGCTTGGAGCAAAAGAAGAAGCTGCCAACACCTTCGACTGGTAAGTTCAGCTATCTTCATGTGATGCCTATCCAGTGCGATAGCATATTGATAGCTAGCGCATTACACATGCTTACATTTTGACCCTAGGATATTTAAATATAGGCACTTGCACCATTTGCATATGAAATATACCACTAGCACTAAACCGATAAAAATCTTCATTATTGTTGCTTGACAGCAATCTTTTACCATTTAAGGGTGCAGACCAATCTGAATAGTCACTAGGCCGAAATTGCGGTCTGGCATCATTTTACCACCCAAGTCCAAGCTAATCGCTGTGATGTTGGCGCACATACCCGGGTATTTTGGTCATCGTTACGCCCATCCACATTAATTACCAGTAGCTGACCTCATGGGCCGCGTCATAAGCGTCTCGCGGCCGTGCGGGGGGGGGGGGAGGGGGGCGAGGGGGCGATAGACCCTTCAGAGACCGCCCTTGGCAATGGCAATGATCGGCGGATCGGCCACCGGGGGGTGGGGGGGGCAGGGGTGTGAGTGACGGGGGAGGGGGCGTCACCGACGGGCCCCCACCCCACGTGAGGGCGTGGGGTCAGCCAACATCCACATGGGCGCAGATGGGGGCGGGGAGGGAGGTGGGGAGGGGAGGGACAGACGAGACAGACGTGTTGCGTCACAACCGGTCAGGTCGGGTCAGGCCAATGACCCGAATAAATTGATTGGGGATGAGCCGCCGGCACAGACAGGGACATTTGAAACAGAAGAGAAGGTCAGGGAATTGAACGGGGTTTAGCTTTTCGTGAGCCGTTTATTGCGCATTATTTGCCTCTGGAATTGTGCCGACGTGCGAGGTTGAAATGCATCTTCCGCTTTCTTTATTTTCAGTGGGGTAGGATATCATAAACAGCAGGCATACCTACATGCTTCTGAGCTTTCATTTGATGCCGAGGGCTTATTCTGTCACTGACAATAGTTCATTTCTAGAGACGATTAATTGTCATTTTGCCCTATTTTCAAATGATAATCTACTTGCAGTTTATTGATTCATATCTTTTTTAACTTAAAAATATTTTTACAGACAGGTTTTATGTTTCGCCCCTCCACCGCCACCGCCCCACAGCTCCCAGACATTATCGTCTCTGTTTGCCACACCGGGTCACCGACCCGATCGCTGGCGGGAACAAAGTCGAGGGGTGTCGTCTGAAGGGGAGGGGGAGGAGACGAGGTGGCTGGCGGGTGGGCGGGGAAGGGGTCGGGGAGGGGTAGGGGAGGACGGGCCGGGGCCAGGAAGGGATGCAGGGGCTGTGGAGGGGGGCAGTTGTTACAAAGCCGCGAGTTCAGTGCTGACAGCGAGGAAGCTCCTTAGCGAGCTTGAGATGCCGTTTGTGAACATGACATCAGGACTAATCGAACACCAACTCAGTCCTTGGGAGGTGGTTACTGGTTACCAAGCTTAAACGAGCGCCAGGTCACTTCTTGGGAGAAAGGCCTGATCGCAGATGAGAAGCATGTTCCATAAAGATAATCAAGTTGTAAGTGTGACCAAATCTGATTTGTGCGGGAAGCTGTAACTCAGTGATAGTGGCGCATTATATTTCTTTAGGCTGGTTTGACTTAAATAAATATAGCTGCTTAAATTCATTTGATTTACAAGTAAGCCAGCAAAATTACTAATCAAATCAAGTCAGGACCAGCCCCGCACATTTAATTAATGAAAAAATTTGATGCCAGAGGTCAATCGATTTGACGTCGATTCGATTTATTGTAATGGTAAATGCATACCTGTCTTAGACGTTAATGTGATCAATTGACCTGAATAGTTGAATCTTTTCAGGCCTCTTCTCTACAGAGACATGTGTAAAGACGACTAATAAATTTCTGTCAGTGTCACCCCTCGGAATTAGAGCCCCCAGTGACAGTGGCGGCTGTTATATAACATTCATGGGAGGGGTGAAATTCACCCCTGATGGATCGGTTCTATTTTCGAGGACAGTCAACAGGCTGTTTGCCGCGTGGAAATTACACCAACGGGCCTACTCGAAAAGCGACAAAATCACGTTGCAAAACATGGATGCGGAACTGAATGTCGTGCGATTCCAAATTTCTTCTTTATGAAGAACGATCTTTGGATGGTTACTGGATGTTCACAAACAAATAGTCAAGTTACTTACGGCCTGTTATAAAGGATAACAAAATCTTATACTAGTTTATCATTGCTAGAAATAAATCGCGACCAATTTAACATACGTTGTCATTTCTGATGTATTCATTTAGTCATGGTTTTTATTCTGCTGGTATGACTCTGAAATGCTGGATATGTTTAATTGTTTTCATAAAAATGACAGCAATTCATTTCGCTCACATGTTTTCATATATCCCCATCTAAACTGGCTGAAATGTTACGATGCTGCTTGAACCAGCACACATGTGAAGACTACGACTCGCTCACATGTTTTCTCTGTCCAATGCCGCCTCTGTATGACCCTGAGTGACCTCTGACAGGTCAACCGAAGCCAGTCCGTCGCCATTCGTCCGGTCCCGTCCCCGTAGACTCGGCAGGTGACCCGATACCATCCATGAGGAGCGTGCAACTCTCAGAGGAAGACAGACAACTGATGGCAGCCTTCAGACAGAGTGGTAAGTCCATGAAACCTCAGAGGGTACCGTAGGCGTAGATTCTTTTTGATACTAGAATTAACCCTCGCATGTGTAGGGGGGGGGGGGTCGGATGGACCCCCCCATGGTTTTTCGCGAATAACTCGCGTAAAAAGCTGCCGATCGCGACGAAACTTTCAGTACCCTCGCATTGATCAATTTTACACCTACCCTGAAAATTTCATGACCCTGACCCAAATGACCTTTGACCTGTGACCTCTTTTCCGAGACCATGTTTGGCCGGAATCGCGATTTCGCGTATGTCGGCTCGCACTAGCCGCGTGTTTGCAAGCTTTTCGTGGTTTCAAACATTCAAACATGTGATTTGATGTTACTCCCGTGTGTGTCAAGGTCACCTGAAGGTCAGGTCAGGTCATTGACCTTTGGTGACCTCGGGTGACCTCGGGTCACTTTTTCGAGTTTTACATGTTTCTAGGCTAGTTTTTGGAGCTGAATTCGAATTTAGCAACCATTTGAACATTTACGAAGTAGTTTTGGTGACTTCGTAACATGTTACGAAGCTGTCAGAGGCGGTTGACACGTACTACGAATACCCGTCACGACGCCTACTGGTTGACCTGACCTGACCTGACCCGACCTGGTCTAAATGCTTCAAGATATCATCTGTGATCAAAACTAACACGATATTCGTGATCAGCACCCCGAAAAACCCCTTAGCAGCCACACTTTACGACTTTCTAACAGGTCCCGATTTTCCCGACTTTGGGTCATTGACCTGACCTGGAAGGTCAACCAATGACCTAGGACCTTAAAATTGGGTATCATCGGCTTCCTCTCGTCACGGGCAACACGCTCGTTTTTTCCGCGAAGCTCTAGCTCGATCAGGGGCCAAACGGCAAGGGGGGGTCCAACCGACCCCCCCCCCCCCTACACATTAGAAGCTGGCAAACGCCGCACACATGCGAGGGTTAAAAACAAGAAAGACAAACCTGCTAATACACAACATCTGGCTCACGCTAGCCCTGATTATGTGTTTAACATAAATCAAGCACGAACGTCGACACTAACAATCATATACTGACTAAGTGCAACTTATTGCATGAAATACCGCCAAAGAGTCATGGCCTCCGTTTACCCGCTCCCCCTTTTAACAAAGCTAACATTGCAGAGCACGATAATAGATTGAAACACCTGATCATTAATTTTGGCTGCTGCCCATCCTCCCTTTTGAGCCACGGTTAGGTCCGCTAGCAACGCTTTGTAACTGCGAAGTCTCGCCAAAGTCCACATCCAAAAAGATCTAAGAATTCTTACGCAAAAGAAACACGCAGTTTTAGGGATTTTGGAGCAATTTCAAGCATTCCCTTGCGTCTCATAACATGGCTCGACTCCGCTTCATGAGCCGGTCAGAAGGTTCATAGACGACCGACGAAACAAAGCTTCCTTCCAGGTAACAACGGGCGTTGACCGCCAGCTTCCTTCCCGGTAGCATTCTTTTCTTGGCCCTCTGCGTCCCCCTTGGCTCTGTTTCTTTTTCTGACTCTGTCTCTGTTTCTTTGTGCATTGAACTCTCCTTTTTCCCTCTCGGGATGTGTCTCTGTTTTAGTTTTTGTGAATGTCTCTGTCCTCATCTTAGTTTTCTCCTTCATCAACTTGTATGAGTTTCCTTCTCTGCCCTGTTTCCTCTTCTTTTCTGTCGTCTTCCCTCTTCTCTTCGTGTCTCACTGCCAAGATTGACCGAGGTACTTATTTTCTAGTTTTACGGACATGTGACGATGTGCTCCGCGACGTTTAATTGTGTCAAGTACCGCCTTGCCCATAAAACGCAGCTTCACTTTCTCAGGTCACCAAACAAACTAAAATCTCTTCACCCCGCGACAGCACTTGATCTTACCCAGTTGCGTTTGTTTTTTTTTCTGACCACCCCCAAACCAACCCACATCTCGATTCAAACGGCTGCCGCTCCACACGTCACGTTGAGAGTATCAGACGGCTTCTGACGTGCCGCTGACATGTCAACTGACGTGCCGTGACGTTGGATGACGTTATGGGACACGATTCGGCGCAGAGGGACGCGGTGTGGCGACGAGCAAAGTGGTGTGCCGACCGAATAGGAATGCGGCAAAGGCGGCTCAGGGGTGCGATTGTGGCGCGTCTGAGGCAACAGCGGCGTGCCACGTGGACAGCTGGTAATGTGACCGGGTGGGACGAGGGCAGTGACCTTTGGAAATTAATTATCCTGTCCTCAGTCTTGTAACGTTTAACACTGCAAAGTAACGATATAACTATACCTACATCATTGCCAAATGCGGTAAAGTGGGCAGCACTGCATGCAGCGTGAGCTGGTCATTGGTCAATTGTCCTTACATAAAATATGATCAAAATGATCAGGATTGCATCAAGGGTAACCGATGACAGTCAAGACAGCTCATATTCAGCATCGGTAACCGAACGGTGGCCAGAGGTCTTTGACCTGCAGAAGGATTGCCACTTCGCCCTCTGTTGCTTTCATCCAGCACAACACAAAGTATCACAGTGGGACCAATGTGCAGCGTTGTACTTCACAGAAGATTCTAGCTATGTTCACATTTATTTATACACAAAACTTTGCGAAAATCACGCTAGTCTTGTTCTGAACAATGAGCTATTCGTGTGCTTTGCTATTATAACGTTTGATGTTCGCGCGTTGACAGATCTTCTTGCCAGTCCGGTGACACATTTGCCTAGTTTGAAGACTTGTGCCCCTCCGCTAGAAGTACGGACAATTTAGAATGAGTCAACCACCACATTGTCCTGGAAATGACCAGTCTTGCTCTTTGATCGTTACCGTGAACTTCCACGGAAGAACGTAGTAACGTGTAACGAGCATGTGGGTCACCTGGCTATTTTTGAAGTCCCAGAGACAGAAATGGCTGACAGGAGACATATTTTTCACTGCTTCCGATCCAGAAACAGATCAAAGGGAGTCCTGAAAACAATGATGGTTGGTAAATGGAAGGTTTTGTAGGAGTATGCGACTCTTTCCAAGTTGTAATTTTAGCGTGGCTTTATTCGCTGGTTAGTAACACTATTGAAAAAGAAATGTCTTGTTTAAATCAGATAGTTTTTAGGCCAGCTATTTTTGCATGTGAAACATCAAATATTCGACGTTCATATTAGGATTGGATACCTTCATTCTGGCCACATGAGTTAAATTAGTGGCTAGGATAATAAATTGTCACATCTCATTAGTCACACAATCATGAACATTAATTCTCAGTTAAATTTATGAACATTGACCCTAATCACTTGACGTTGATAAAACTATAGAAAATGAAAACAGTCTACGAAGCATATTCTATGTTGCTGCTGCACTGCAAGAAAACGCGTTTGTTTGTTTTTTCGTTTCTTATTCTGAGCTAGCTCCTTCCGTCTAATAAGAACATTCAAGAGCCACGAGATATTAGGAGTTAGGGGTGACATTGGCCAACAAATGGTGATCCGTCGGGGCTGAGCCCATCACTGTGGATAGGTCACTCAGTCCCACTAACGGTCACCCCACTGCACGATGGGCCTGCTCGTGAAGAGTTACTCACGTTGGATAAAGGCAATCTTCCACCTTGAAACAGGGGTAGTAGTTTTGGGAAAAATATTTCGTGCGTCTTGGGGAAAAATCAAAGGGATCGGCACGACAACAACACACCAGCACCCTGACTTTTATTTCGATGCCTCTGTTTCTAGGTAAGCAGTGTGCTAATGTTTTAACCCTTTTGACAACAGACTAAACTCGTTTGCGAACACAAGTGGGTCGATCTGTCACCTCCAAGCGCCCTCTCCCACACACTGAGCAGGGGGTCTCGGCTGGGTGAGGATCGGTTTCAGGTCAGCCCGTCTAGTGAGAACAACCCACGCCTCCCAGACATGGCTCTGGCACTGAGCCAACTTCCGCGAGCCGCATGTCAGCGCTGTGAAATCGCCCCCTCTCTCTCTCTCTCTCTCTCTCTCTCTCTCTCTCTCTCTCTCTCTCTCTCTCTCTCTCTCTCTCTCTCTCTCTCTCTCTCCCTCCCTCTCTCTTTCCCTTACACGCCCGGTCATTTTTATGACTCGTCTGAGCATTGTCCTGCTCCTATTTTTAATCCTGTCCATAGATGGCAGGGCGGTCGGCGCCTGAAGGTAGACTGTACCGCATGACATACCTACCTAAGCGCTGTCTCGGCGCCGCTCTCCACTCCACAGTCCACGGTAGCGTATTTTTTTTTCGTGGCGATGTAATTCTTATCAAGTACGAATACTTGTCTGCAATGTCAATTTTCGAATCGCTTGTATTTTATTCTATTTCAAAATCTACCAAATATCAACCAAGTTGAAATATTTGCAATGCACACATCCGCTGAATGATAAAACGTCGCATTTAATCCTTCCACCAAGTGTCATGAACAAGCATCACTGTGCTGTCACCATGACAGCCCAGCTCCGCCCTGACGTCAGTCCACGTCAGGCAGCGCACGTCAGACCGCCAGTGACGTCAGCAGGTGTGCTAATGACGTCAGCAGTCGGCCCGATTCTGTCGTACGAATGAGCGGGAGAGTTTGCTGAAGGGGTTCGCTTGACGTCCAGGCACTTGATGGTGGTGGGGACGTCATGTTTGCACCGAAAAGAAAACAATCACGTGATCGGGGCGCCTGTCAATATTGGAATGAGGCGATGGTATTCGATATTTTATAGTCTTTCAAATAACTGACTGGCATCTTGGCAAGAAAAGCATCATTGGAGGCTGGAGCAATGAACTGGTCCCATTTTTTCATATGCCTACTGCTAAGTTTAATTGGGTGACTAAGTTGAAAATGACATAAATTGCAGAAGTGCCTATTTCTTTAGCATTGTTCATTGCCCTTGCAAAGAATATAGCCCAATGGCATTAATGGTTTCCCTGATTGATATGCACTTCGATGCATGTGTAAAAAAGATGACATGCTCCCAATCTAGCATTCTATAGCATCCTTTACAATATTCTGAAAAGAGTTGCCCGGATGGACATATAAAAAACAACAACGAACATTCCCGTTCATGCTGTCAGATTGTTAAACTGAGGGAGGTGGGGGTTTTAAGCATAAAATGTTGTAGGAATGTCGAGAAGAGGATAAGGAATAAAGAGGTTTCAGGAGTGCAGGGGGGGCGGTGCAGGAATGTAGCGGCACAGGCGGATAATTTGAAGGGCTTGAAAAGGTGGATGTATGTGATCTGTGAAAAGGATGGCATAGGGTCTGTAGGTATGTATCATGTGAAGCGTAAAATGTAGGGGTGTAGGAGGGGATGTGGGGAACTGTAAGGTGCAGATTGAGGAAGGGGTTAGGTAACGGCATGTAGAGGGTACAGGGAGGACAAAGTACAGAGTAAAGAGGATACATGAGGGAGCGCTGGATGGGTGTAGTACGAGTAGGGCACAGGTCAGTGGGGTCAAAGGGAGCAGGAGTGAAGTCGAGTAAAGGCAGGTGCTACAGTGGGAGGGGTAGAGCGATGTACGGTTCGGGGGAGGGGGCTCTGTCTGAGTCCAGATTGACCCGGTGACAGTGGGGGCCAGCCGTCGGTACCGGCGGCCAAACACAGCAGGCCATGAGCGGGTCGCCGTCTGCCGCGCCTCGCGACACCGGCGCGCGGCGAGCTGCCAGATGCGCGCTGCCAAATCCACCGCGGCGCGTGCCAAAACATTTATTTTAGAATGTCTCCCCGTTGCCGGAAAGTGTGGCCGCTAAGGTCGCTTGTCGCGTGGCCGACGGTCGGCCGATGACCCTTACTGACCGGACTCCAGCCGCCGCTGCGACCGCTGCTGCCCCTTCGCCATCGTCGTCGCCGTCGGCGGTGCCGGCGGTGGTGGATTTTTTGTCGTCGGTTCAGTCGCAGGGCCGACCGTCGCGAGACTCGCCACCTCCGCCGCCGGTCGCTCCGTGGCCCGCGGCGCCGACACCCCATCTTGTGACCGCGGTGCTCTCTCCATCGTTTGCGACTCAACTGATCGACTCCAACTCCAACTCCAACTCCAACTCCAACTCCGACTCCGACTTCGACTCTGCTAGCGGTAAAGCTCAGCGACGTCTCCCTCGAAGACTGCCACGCCGTGTAAGGGTAAAAACCCCGAACGTTCCGCTGTCGCCGGAAGAAGGTGTCGTTAACGACTGAGACAACGGTGTCGGCGTCGACGTTTCTTGCGATGAAGCAAAAAGCGTTCGGCGCGTGACCGCAACAAGTCTGTCAGAAGACGGTGAGACTTCTTGCAACTACCTTATAGATTCTTATGCTTAATAGTGCCTGTATTGATGACGAGTAATTCATACAGCATTAGATAATACGGGTAATTGTAGGCAGTTGTGCTGTTTTGGAACTAGATGCGGCAAAGATATAATTAGAAAATGGTAGGAATCTGTACCAGTATCACATAATATTGCGACTGGAATTGCATAGTGCTAGTGCCGGTACTGGGAGCTGGATCGAATCCAGCCTCTCGGTACTGACTACTGAGAGTCTAATGCTCTGCAAAAGTAGCTACGGGAAAGCCTTAACCCTATTCCTGGCGGGCTCCGCCGGGACAAGAAACTGGCGGGGGGGGGGCCGATTCGGCCCCCCCCCCTGAGATCTCGAGAACGAAGCAAGATAGCGACAAGCGGTAAACGGCATCGGATACGCACGGCCAAGATCTACAATTTTTACTAAGGTTATTTTCAGGTCAGGTCAAAGATGACGTCACAGGGGTCGAAAAAGTCAAAATGGCGGCACTACAGGGTGGAAAGTAATTACGCGAACATACTTTTTCGTCTTCTAGTAATGAAAAAACGGCGGTGATATAAAAAATATAAGTTTTACTTTATCCTTATCTAGTTGCGATGCATTGACATAGGCGTTCCGGCATGATTTACATCAGCATGTGAAGATCTGTTGGCCAAAGCTCAGCCCACACCTTATGGAGCTGTCCAGTGAGGTAATCGGTATTGGTGGCTCCTTGCAGCTTTTAGACGGTTTCCTGAGGAGTCATCTGGAGATTTTTAATCGAATTGAGGCCCAGGCGTTTCCCAGATCAGCTTTTGTATGTCCTGAAGAAAAACAGGTTCTCACAGCACCAGTATTGCGTTTTGTTGGCCGCGAAAGTAAGGATTTCACCAATCACGAAGAGCAGTTTCTTTGCGTCAGGCACAAAAGTGCGCTCAGTAATTTTGCCCCTTTCGTTGCACGGTGGATTAGACAGAGACACTCGTCTTGGAGGATGTTCCACCGGTTGTATACTTTATTTTTAGTGACCTTTTTTAGCGCTACACGCAATTCTGACACCACCCGGGGGCTCGTGACCCACTGATGTGTTCCTTTGCCGGATGTTTGAAGGTTGGGACGGACGGGACATAGGACGCAACAGCAGCCCTCAGAGCAGTTGTTCTGCAGGTTTGACGGATGAAACAGTTTCACAGATGTCTCACCCAACCACAAATCCAGCTGCCTGTCCTCCTCTGTCCATCTTTGATTGTCTTTGAAAAGCTTCAATTAACAATTCTGCTGTTAAATCGTGAATTTTGGTCATTCCGAGGGTTTGTACGACTTAATTTTCGAATTTTTGCGTATTAATGTGCGAATCGTGATATCCTAGATCGGGTACCCGGCCAGAGTAAGCTATTTTGCCAGTTTTCGGGTCGACTGGCGTCGTTTTGTCGCCGACATGGTGACCACCCGTCCGGCGACAGAATTCGCCGAGGGGCTGCTGCCGCGGACGGCTTTGCTTTTTAAGTCCTCTCAAGTGTTATTATGTTAAAAAAACGTATAATTGTGCAATGCTGATGCTGAGACCGCTACGAATCCCTTCTCCGCCAGTCCAGCGAAAATAATCACAAACGCTTTCCCTGGCAGCTCCAAATTGAGCTCTTTACCCATTTCGGTCTTGTGCAGCGTATGGTGTCTGCACCATTTTAAGTCGAGAGGTGTTTAAGACCTTCCAGGTCATTGTTCAAAGTTAGGTCACTTTTGGTAGATGAGGCGACAACAAACACGACCAATTATGTTCCATGACAGCCCGTACTCATAAAAATGCTCCACTGACGGTCAAAATTGTAAGAAAATACATGTTCGCGTAATTACTTTCCACCCTGTAGATATGGAGAGAGTTTTTCTCGAATAACTTTCGAATTAGTCAAGATAGGAACAAACTAAGGGCATTATCGTGATCCTCTCGTCAATCCGCATCGAATGATATATATGTTGACCTCGAAAGGTCAAGGTCAAAGGTTGACCTCAGGTCACGTGACCTCGAGGTCATCATGTATATCATTCGATGCGTCTTGACGAGCTGAACACAATGAGACCATCCACGCGTCTGTATCTTGTTCCTGTACGGAGTTATTGGCCAAAAACCTTTGGTGACCTTTGATGACGTCACATGACCTCACAGCTGCCCAACAGCAAAACAGACCTCAAGGTAGTGAAGGTTGATCGTATATGAAGTCATGTATGGTATATGGGGCCATTCCGACCCGTTTTAGTGGTAAAAACAGGGAGTTGATTTTTCCCCCATTGACTTATAATGGGGAGGTCGCGAAATTGACCTGACCTTAGGTCACCGATATCAAAATTCCGAGATATACAAATTGCACATACTGGTACCCTAACTAAACCCTGAAGAGAAGAAATTGATCGGTCAAAAACTCTAGCTCTGGCGTGATTGCAAACTTTTCTGAGGTAGCGTCACCAAACCGCCTCTGGTGACCTGACCTGAGGTCAGATCAACTCAAAATTTTCAGACATGTTGCGTAGAAGCCTTTTAGGAAAAGTCAGAAAATTTGAGCTTCCTAGCTCAACGCGTTTGGGAGATATAGCCAAAAAACCTCAGGGGGGGGGGGCTCCTGAGGCCCCCCCGCCAGGAATAGGGTTAAGTTTTATTAATTTAGGGATAATGAAAGCCTTAAAAGTCCATTTTATCTTATATATATTTGAAAATAAGCCAATTTTTAGATAAAAACAAGGGATATTTTTGTCAGAAGGAGTGTAAGCGTTTTGTTTTGAGACATTTAAACGTTTTATTTTATTCAGGTGATATCAATGACAAAAATGTCTGGCAGAGCATTTCTGCAAATTGCTAACACTTTTATCGAATTACTAAATTTTGCTACCATTTTGACCACTATCCGCCAGTTTTACCCTACATTTTCCCTTAAACTGACCTTTGCCCTACGCATCGTCCACAGAGGACAGACCGACGCGTAGTGCAAACTGCAAGACACAGGCACTCCTTGTAAATACTACCTAGCATGTACAGCAAGATAACTACTATGGACTTTTGACCTAATCGAGAGCTGAGCAGCTACTAAAACGATCGCAGCTACAACGGTAACTAGTTAATAGTCCAAAGATGTAGTTTATTACAGTATGGAGTGCTAGAATGTAGTAGTTTTGTATATGACTCAAAACTATCAGCATTTTGACTATCAAGTAGTACCTAGCTTGCGGTATCTATTCTTATGTCTGCATGTTGTCATGCTGTTTTAGCATCATGTTGCTGACGAGACTTGATGTCTTCATTGGTCACAATTTTTAGCAAGCGGCATCCTAGCAGCTTGCAATTTTTTCAACTAATAGTGTCCTCTAACTCCAGTTGACGGCGACCTTTAGTTATCCCTGCAGCTGAAGCCTGTGGTAGTTGGATTCCTGCAATTGACCATAAACCCATACTTTGCTAGCCCTTTAGGTACAACATTTTATATCCACATCTGACCGCGTTTGGTGTCCCCAGTGGATGGTGACGCCTCGTGCTTTGTGTTCCCAGTCGATGGTGACGCCTCGCTGCACTCAGAGTCGGACCCCCGCTATCGAGGCGGACACATCCCTTCTCGAACGTTCCGTCTGCTGCAGGCCGCTACCGGCGAGACTGGACCGGGTACGTGACCTTTCGTGACCCCAACCCGGACCTAGGCATGGTGACTGCAGTCCAGTTCGATGATTGAGTGTAAACGAGGTGAAACATAAGTAGGCCAGAATGTCAAACATTGCGTGCTTTCTGTTATCTGCCTTCCGAATATCTTAAGCTCATTAAAACATGTTTTTTAACATTTTAAATTTCATGTTTTTTTTTTTAAACATAAACTATAAATGATATTTAAAGTCGGAATTTACCAATAATAAAAAATGGTGAGTACAAAATAAAAATGTAAAGAAATGTAGACCAGAGAACAGTGAGGTAGTGTCGGTAGTGTACTGCTGTCGGCGCGCGGAAATCGCGTGCTCGTTTTTTTGGCACCCAGCCGCCAGAGCCGCGTGGAATGCTGACCGCAGTTATTCCTCAGACGGGGGATTTGACGGCTCAGACGAGCCGTGTCGAACGACTGCCAGGCCAGAGCGCTACCGTCTTCCGTGTTTTGTTCCGTGAATTGATGTGATGCTGTACTCGATGTTGGTGGGCCTTGGGCTTCATAGGATGTACTTTGTTCACAGGATGGACTTTGTTTAGTTGGAGATTCGTTAGAAAAGATCTTTAATCAATTATGATGAGCTTAGAATGCGATTGCCCCTGCACCTCGTTCTTATGTGCCTATGTATTGTGCGCAGTTTCAGTTCTACTCAAGCGAACTTCGGCGAAAGGAACTTTTCATACTACTCCAGACAAGTGAACTGTAAGTGCGGTTACCATCTCTGGTTTGTTTTCCCAGTTTCGGGCGGCAGAGTCCACGCTGAAAGGATCGGAGGGCCCGGACCCGCCAGAGCTGTCCTTATCAACATGAGGTCTGGCAGACCAGGTGAGCTGGCAACGCTGAACCATTCCGTCTGCGGTAGAATTAGGTTTTCGAGCCGTGGAGAGGTCAGCCGTGGCCTCTGACAAGTTGCAATGCGAAATTTCGATAATGCACCAACCTGCCATTAGCTGAAGGGCCACAATGAAATTAAGCCGCTCTGACACTAATGAGTTGAGCGATGTAGGCAGCTTACCCATCCCATTTTCATGCATGGATCTGGGCTCATTTTTATGTCAGGCGAATCTTCCCGGCGCAAATTGTATGGCAGAGAGCAATAGGATATAGTCATCAATTTTTAGTCTCTATTCTATTTTTCACAGGCACTGGAATCAGCAGCCCGGCGGCGCGAAGTCCTCTATCTGGGGCCCCTCTAACGACGAGAAAGTATGTGCCGACCACCGGTACACGCACCTTCAGAGGCTCAACTTCGACCTCCGAACAGCTCGGTAGGTATACGGTATAACAGCAGTATAATGTGACGTAGAATTAGTTGGATAGGCTACGTAGAATATTCTGGTAGCTAGGGACCATAGAGTAAAATCAGCCTGATATGCTGCGTATATAAAACCAACCCGAGAGAGGACGCTGAGCAAGCGTGGTAAGTTGTGAGGAATAGTTCCGGTAAGTGGAATAGACTCTGTCGAATAGATGGCGTGGAATAAAAACTGGTAAGTGTTAGAATCAATTTGGTTGACAGGGTAGAATTAGTCGGTTAGGTTAATTGTGGGGAGAAATCTTCCAGCAAGTGGCGTAGAGTAAAAAAAAAAAATCGATAGGTGCCGTCTGCGCCGGACTGACGTGGTTAGACCAGGCATAGATTTTGGCTAGACTATAAAAGGATGTCTACCTCTTTACTGTTCTGTTGGCTGAATGCTGTCAGTTTAGGCACATCCCTTCAACTGACTGAGTCACGCATAGTGGTAGCACTTTCTGTTGCTGGGGGTAAAATCAACGATTTACGCAAAGAGCGTATTACAATCCCTTATTTTCTCTACCGGGTTGTTATGCGCTATTGTGGTATTATGGTGGATGCCTATATTTCGTCGTCATCACCCGGTTCAAGATTTGTCTATTTTTTATTTGTACTATTTCACTGTCTGCACGTAATGGTGTGCACTTAACGTTAGCCATTTTAAATATGATAATGGCTCTGGCTGTTCGCTGCCGCTTTTAATAACTTTCAATTAACCTTTGCGCAGTGCCTATTTCTTTTGGTTTAGCTAAGTTCGCTGTTTAGATATCATTCCGTAAGTCAAACTGTTATTTCTCAGGCATGCACAGGTCTCTCTCTCTCTCTCTCTCTCTCTCTCTCTCTCTCTCTCTCTCTCTCTCTCTCTCTCTCTCTCTCTCTCTCTCCGCGCTGCCGCTGTATGTATGCTACCTTTTTGCCTCTTTCCATAGAGCTTGCTCGCCTGGGGCTGCCGTCGGTTACATCACCAGTCTGCCGACGCACGACGCGCGCCTCTCTACTGCTACTGCCGTCTGAATCCAGCTCTAGCATCGTCGCCGAGAATCCCACATCTACTTCAAAACATCCCACTTCTGCCACCAAGAGCGTCACCGCCGCAACCAGCGTCACGCCGACACGCGCCGGCCGGCCCGCCTCGTGCCGCCTGTCGCGTCTTCTCAGCGATCTCAGCACCCCTAGTGGACGCACGCCGAGTCTGAGTAGCGTGTTCAGTGGAGCCAGCTGCAGCAGTGGCTTCGCGAGCGGAAGCAGCGGCTTTGCCAGTGGCGGAAGCTCCAAGGCCACCTCTGAGGCGTCGGATTGTGAGCTGTCCCTTGATGGGGACTGTGACTCGGAGCCTGGCCAGGCTTCGGTCACCGAACAATCCAGAGTCTCCAGCGGTCATCACGCGCGGGAGGAGAAAGACGGGTCACGTCTGACGCCTGCGCTCAAACGAGGATCGGATTCCAGTGATGATACTGTGGTCGAACGGCGGCCGCAGCCGCGCGCGGCCAGTCCTGGTCGCCTCACCGCTCGCGACGTTCGAGACTCATCCAAGAAATCTCCCTCCAGAGTTGATGCCAGATCTCCCGCCAGATCGGTGGAGAGGTCGCTCAGCAGATCACCTGCAGTGTCCAGTGTAAAGTCGTTTTCAAAGCGGGAAGAAAGTTCGGGATCATTAAAGTCCACAGAAAGATCGCTGACCAGGTCGTCAGCAAGTCCGCGTTTGGAGTCGCCGGTCAGACTTGATTCCAAAACTATAACGAGATCTCGTGCAGACGCATCTCCAAGTCGGTCTGACGCGGCATCTAAGAAATCCAGTTCCAAGTCAGGAAAAGTTGCACAGAAATCCTCAGACAAAGCATCAAACAAACATGTTCAGCCCTCGATCCTCACGAAATCAAGTCCTAGAACGGAGAAAGTGGACTCCGAATCAGAATCAGAAGAACCGGAGACCGAACAAGAAACCTCGAAAAAAGATCTGTCTCCCAGAGGCAAGCGACACGGGAGACGAAGTTCCAAATCACCTCAGATTATTCCGAAAGAAACTGTTTCCGAAAAATCCACCTCCGCAGGGCCAGCTCCCGCAGAAAAGAAGGCTGTGGATGAATCCTGTGATCCCACAGAGAGCATCTGGCCTGAGCTGGCGAAAGAGGCTGGAGCAAACGACGGAGAGCATCTCTTCGGAGCCAACCGCGAAAGACTGTTTGACGCTTGGCTGGCGAACCTCGAGAAGCGGAACCGGTGGCTAGTGGAAGGGCAGCTTACGGTCCTGCCACCATCGGCGTCCGATCCCCCGCCAGGAGGTGGCAGTGATATAGGAGTGGCAACAGGGGAAAGTGACAGTACGAGTGGCCAAGGGAGCACCTGTGCCCAAGGGAAGAATGGTGATACCGCAGCCAATGAAGATTCCAGTTCGAGTGATGTAAAGGTGTCAAAATCTGCGACGTCTAAGAAGGATGAGGTTGGGGAATCAGAGCAGGGGAAGATGTCTTGCGTTGGGAAGGACGGTGATAAAGCTCTGAAGGGCGCTGAGCGTGAGGAAAAGACAGCTCGGTCGAGTGGAGCCGTTACCAAACAGATCGAACTTGAAAATGGCACCAAAGTCGAAGTGAAAATGCGGAAAAAGAAAGTGAAGCAAGACAAAGACGGTACAGGACATAAAAGTGTAGCCGCTAAAGTAGCGAAGTACCAATCACGCCAGAGCTTGCCAGTTGTCACTGAACAGAGCAAGCCAAAGGTCGTTGGTGCCACTATGAAGAATGGCACAACCACACAGCTCAACCCCAAAAGTTCCACTAGTTCAATCTCCAAAAAGGTCGAGGGTCCTGTCATTGAAGGGAAGCTAACAGTGGCGCTTCGAAAGACGTCTCCGAAAGAGCCGGTTGTGGACAACTTGCAGACACTAAAACGGAACACAATCCATCTACCGAACCTCGCCAAGGGGAGACCCGAAGTGCCTGACCCAGTCGAGGGCAAACCGAAGCCAGAGCCTCCCAGACGGGGTCACGTCACCTTCAAGTCCGCACTGCGGTTCTTCCAAGAGACGGTAGGCTCGGATCCTGAGCCGTCCGTGGAGTCTACCCCAGAACGCACTATGCGACCTGTCAGTTGTGCTGCACTGCTTGGGAACGTAACCACCAGTTGTGAAGATGAAAGTCGTGTTGCCGGCAGTGGCCCTGTGGCGGAGGCTAGTCCCGTGCCGCCACCTCGTCGCCGCACTGCTGGACGAGGTCAGCGTGCGTCAGTGTCTCCGCTACCGTCAACGTCGTCGCCCTCGGTTCCGCCGACTTCTCAGCCTCCCTCACCTCCTCAAACGTCACCGCCACCGCCACCACCACCTCCTCCACCTCCGCCTCCGCCTCCACCGCCTCCAGCGCAGCCATCAGCGACACCTAAGGTGTCCAGCCCATCCTCATCCAGTCGCGCCAGCCCTGCTACCCAGAGAAGGGACAAGAATGCGAGCGGTGCAACGAGCACATCACCGCGTCTAGCGGAAAGGGGCAGAGCCTCGTCGGGGGCCTCATCACCTCGCGCTCAGCCCCCCTCAGGAATGGACTCTGTTCTGGCGGAGCTGAAGAACTCACAGCGGAATCGTCTGACGGCCATCGAAGGAGGTCGAGTTCCGCGCATCGTGTGTAAGGACACAGTCCTGAGTGAGCTTCAGGGCGTGCAAGAGGGACGTTTGGAGCGACCGAACCGACCGACAGCGGCGCCGTCACGGCTCTTCCGTCGACTTCAGTGCGAGTTTAACGATAATTCTTCGCCGGACGAGTCCACTTGCGCCGTCGAGGGGAAGTCACATGGCGAGGGCGAGTCCACTGAGGTGGAGGGAAGGTCGATGACTGATAGCGGGATCTCCTCCAAGAACAGTCTCTCGACCGAATCGGGATTCTCTGAAGATGAGCCGACGTAGAGTTCTCAGTTCTCGTTGCGAAAATAAGCCATTATCCACGGGTGCGCTCCCTTTGTTTAGGAGCTTTTTTGTTTTGTTTTATGGCTCCGTGCCTCGAACGGAACCGGTGATCTTATGTGTTAACTGTAGACATGTCAGCTGTGTGCTAGTGATTTCGTGTCTTCTTGGAAGTTATGTGGTTAAGTTCAGACCGCTGGTAACTGCCTCAATACTTGTACTGCCTCTGCATAGCCTGCGTTTGGCTTTGTTCCTCCTTTCGTTTAAAGTCTCTTTGCAAGTAGCAAAGAAGCACTAATGCAATGTTTGCAAGTGTGGCCTGCCTAAAGAGCTTTGCTCCCTTGGCTTCCTGTCACCTATTTATTACTTTCCTTTCCTTACCACGCTGTATTTTTGTATAAAGCCTGCAACTGATCTGTGTTTGAAATGGCGGAATGATTAGGAGAACGAGCGACTGAGACGTCAAACTGTAGAGGCAAATGATGGGATTTCTAGTGGCCATTTTGATGAGCATAAAATACTAGAAAAGAAGTTGACACGATGATACTACATGAGACGCTTTAGCACACGACGAAGTACAGGGTGGGCCAGAATAAGTGTAACAGTTTCTAACGCACATTATGTGCATTTAATATTTCAACTCTAGACATATTTTGTAAAAATACGAAAGCCAACAGTCTGCCAAATGAGTAGGAGAAATAATTACCTCTCTATCAGCAATGGTTTTCTTACCAGAAGAAAAAGTAAAAACCATCCATTTATGGTATGAAACAAAATCGTGCGTAGCTGTTAAACGTCGTTTCCGGCAGGAGTTGGGCTGTCACTCATCACAGGTACCTTCGAACACGGAGATCCATCGATTTGTAAGTCATTTTGAGAAGGAATGGAGTGTCCTAAGGCAGGCGAAGGGTAGATCCGGTCGTACAACTGAGGTGACAGGAGATGGGGATAGGATTGAGCAGGTCCGTCAATCCGTTAGTGAGTCACCGAGGACCTCTACCCGGTATCGCTGCCAGGAGCTGGGGATGGCACGGACCAGTCTCCGAAAAGTCCTCCGCAAGAACCTTCGGTTCTTCCCATACCGGAGGGACACCACGGAGAGGGTGGGAGCCAGTTTCCTCGAACGCGTGCACATGTGTTTGCAGGCAAAGGTGCCCTCTTTGAGCACATGCGCAAATAAAAGAAAACACGCAAATGTTGTTTTTTATTGATGACGATAATCTTATTTTGCTAGGATTTTTTTTTCGAGGTAAATATTACTATATGATTTGGCAAACGTTTTTCTACTAGCTGTCAAAATTTGATTTTCATATCTTTTACCAGTCTTGAGAAAACGACGTTAGAAAGTGTTACACTTATTCTGGCCCACCCTGTATACAACAGACTATTGCAGCAGCCAGCAACAATACGATTTGTTCATAGACCACAAGAACCAGCTCCGAAAGTGCGAATGTCGCCAGGAGCTGTTACCAGCACTTCAGTTGACAGACACCGCTTCAACAATAACCACGTCAGTCACATGGCACTTGGAGCGTAAAAGTCGTAAACGGCGTTTCAAACCACTCGCGCTTCATCACCGGCTTACCGATGCGGCGCTGGGACCACTGGAACTACTTCAAAGCGGGCGTAATATGACGATGGCGCCGCACACCGACAAATAAACGAGCCACAACGTTTTTAAATTTATGCAGAAACTCCTTCTCGAGAGAGAGTGTCACCTGCGATGGTCCGGCCAAAGCCAGTAGATAAAGTGAGCGACACAAAATTCACGTAACATTACATAAAACATTGAGTGTATTAGTTCATGGTGGGGAATGTGTTACAGTTACTACATAAAAACGGCTGATGGAATCATGAACACTAGGGTATACTTTTAATTCATACATGAACGTTACTACATGCGCCTGCTCTAAAGCTGAAAATACAACAATAAAATCGGCTACAACCTTCATTATCAAAGGTCGCCTCGATGCAGTAGTTACAGACCTACCCACAGAGACGGTTTAGAACGGAGAGATGCATACCTCCGCAGAATAAAAAAGCAAAAAAAAAAATCGGCACAAAATGCGGTGCGACGTAGCGAGAAACGGCAAATGACGCCGGCGTGTTCTCAACAAATTATGCCCTAAGTACCTACGCTGCTATTTTTTTCGCAAAGCTCATGAAAAGACGTCACCAGAGATCATCGAAGCTCAATTTATGTGGTTCGGGGTTCCAAAGCGATGCCAACAATAGCCGTAGCCAAGAGGGAAATTACAAAAGGAACCAACGGCTCAATGAAAGGTTCAAATATTGCGAACTACTTGGTGCAATTAAAGGCGATGGCGGGCCCGGAATGGGTTATGTTGCACAGTTTATTATTTAGTATAACTCCGCCCGTGGCCCACGCAAGAGCGGCGCCTCGATAGTAACATATCGATGCGGGGATGGGAGGGGGAGGGGAGTGGGGCGTTAACAGGTAAACACGCTCCAATGTGGCTCCAGGGCTATGTACGCTCGTACATACTGCGTAGCAACCAGACACTTTTTATTCGGCATTATCCAACACTCTTTATTTTATTCCACTTCGAAGCAAATGTCTGAAAATACACGTTGTAATTAATAGAGCGATAAAATAGCTCATTATTTTCCCATGCTTTCTTATTCATTCATTTTTTAACCCGGCAGTTGCTGGGGTATTTCGCCACCCACCGTTTGCTGGGGGGGGGGGGGGGCGTTAAACGCCCCCAGCCGATAACTCGAGAACCAATAGGCGCAGCGAAACGCACGAGGCGGCAAACGAAAGAACGCGACGAGACGCTTCAGATGAGTACTTTAAAGTTGAATTTTGAGGTCACAGGTCAGGTCAAGGTCAGGTCAAACACCTGAAATCGGGCTTTCAGTAGCATGGACTTCAGGACTTCGCAATGGGCGCCTCTCGTCATAAACTCTGTCAAAACGGTGCACAATCCATCATATAAGGCCTACAAGAGTGTCAGCTCCATGCAGGGGTCAGTCAAGCATAGGTCAGGGTCAAGGTCAGGTCAACCGGGCAGGCACATATCCCCGAAAATAAAAACTGATATTCGCAGCCTGTGACACATGTTTTATGGGTAATTTGGGGCGTAGAACACGATGGTGACATTCATTTTATCATATGTGTACGTGTTTGGCTAAAAAAGTTCAATTTAAGAAATTCATGTATCATGGTCGTGAAGTAGTCACGAGAAATTGCCAAGATTCAGTTCAAGATTTTGGAAAATGCGGAACGATAATCAATAATCGAAGATAGCCATTTGATTCTCCATGGTATTGGCAGTCTAATGGCGTTTACGGCATGTCTATATGTCTATTCTGTGATTTTATATGATTTTTTGAACATATGCCGTTTTTGGTCGAAAACTCAGAAATCATGACGTCACTAAAACCTCGATATCTCAAAAATGTTCTGACCAATTTTTTTGAAACTTTGTCACAATAAACTTCAATCAATTCCCTACAGGTACCCAAAATTTGGCGCGCCTGCAGCGCGCCGTTTTCATGCTATGGCCCGGCGAAAAAAGTGGGGGCGTTTAACGCCCCCCCCCAGCAACTCGCGGGTTAAGCAGGGGCTTGCTCTCTACCTCGCTCGCACTACACGGCTTCTTGGCCCGCGCTAGTTGAAAACTTCGCCGACAGATGGCGGGGTATGTAGCGCCTGCATCTATACTGTTCCGCCGTACCTGCGCGCTGCGCGGCGCAGCCTACCTATCAGTCTATCAGTCACGGCAAAGCGGACGGGGAGGGACAGTCCGCTCTGCCGTGTTGCTCTTCTAGAGTGGTGATGCTTACAATCGAGCATCCCCCACATCGAGGTGCGGAGGGAGGGGGCGGAGTAATGCAGCTCCCGGTCCGCGTGTAGCGGCATTCGGTTATCGGCGTTTGAAAATGCATCAAACATCATTGCTGTAGCAGGTATGTACTTTGAGCATTATTTAGGTCAGGTAATATTAACCCACGAGTTGCTGGGGGGGGGGGGGCGTTAAACGCCCCCACTTTTTTTCGCCGGGCCATAGCATAAAAACGGCGCGCCACAGGCGCGCCAAATTTTGGGTTATACCTGTAGGGAATTGAGTGAAGTTTATTGTGACAAAGTTTCAAAATATTCAAACACAAAGTTTTGAGATATCGAGGTTTTAGTGACGTCATGATTTCTGAGTTTTCGATCAAAAACGGCATAACGGGCATATGTTCAAAAAATCATATAAAATCACAGAATAGACATACAGACATGCCGTATACGCCATTAGACTGCCAATACCTACCATGAACAATCAAATGGCTATCTTCGATTATTGATTATCGTTCCGCATTTTCCAAAATCTTGAACTGAATCTTGGCAATTTCTCGTGACTACTTCAGGACAATGATACATGCATTTCTTAAATTGAACTTTTTGAGCCAACCACGTACACATATGATAAAATAAATGTCACCATCGTGTTCTACGCCCCAAATTACCTACAAAACATGTGTCACAGGCTGCGAATATCAGTTTTGATTTTCGGGGATATGTGCCTGCCCGGTTGACCTGACCTTGACCCTGACCTTTGCTTGACTGACCCCTACATGGAGCTGACACTCTTGTAGGCCTTATATGATGGATTGTGCACCGTTTTGACAGAGTTTATGACGAGAGGCGCCCTTTGTGAAGCCCTGAAGTACAATGCTACTGAAAACCCGATTTCAGGTCTTTGACCTGACCTTGACCCGACCTGTGACCTCAAAATTCAACTTAAAAGTACTCAGCTGAAACGTCTCGCCGCGTTCTTTCGTTTGCCGCCTCGTTCGTTTCGCTGCGCCTGTTGGTTCTCGAGTTATCGGTTGGGGGCGTTTAACGCCCCCCCCCCCACCAAACGGTGGGTGGCGAAATACCCCAGCAACTGCCGGGTTGACGCCACACCATCGGGTTGCTTTGTAAGAAAGGCTCACGAGGTCACTAAAGTGACGCCATTTATCTGTTTCAGAGTCGTGATGGACGACAGATGAGCATCATAAAACAAGAAGGCGCTTTTGTAAATGCAAACTCAAACAACAGTTCGTGACAGCTTGTGCATAGTTATTCGGTTTGACTCAAGCTGATATCAGTTTGTCTGAACAGCTCAGCATTAGAGAAAGGCCAGTTTGTCTTTTTTTCTTTGCATCGTGTAATCACACATATGATATTTCGATAAATTTCATTGAAAAGTCGCAGTGTTGCGCGCTACTCACGTGTTGTGTGTTTGTTTCGTTCTGTTCTGGTGTATGTGAGATTGCATGTATGTATGCTCGCATATATACGACTGTAAGTTGTGCCCAAGGCAGCATTGAGCACCGATAACAAACTGCTATTATGTTCCGAAAATATTGCACTGCTTCGACTTTTTAACGGGTGTGATCATGCATATATCCTACCTGTTCGGACTGTTAGTTTGATGAACATAAGCAAGTAAACTCGAATTGCAGCATTAAGTTATACCCGTACTGCTCTGTTTTGGGGGTATTTTCCAACAAACGATATTGTTGAGCTCTGTTCTTAGCTCATTGAACCTGTTGACGTTAAAAAGATGCCAGCGCAAGCTTATTGCATTGCAATGATTTGGTAAATGGCGGTGAAATATAGACGCATGTGGCTATTGTACGCATATCAATGTTGGAAATGCTTGAAATGCACGGGGCGCCACTACGCAAGTCGAGAGTAGAAGCTCACACTTACCTATAGGCAGTTCGAATGCGCCTTCTCGACTTTTGGCACGCGGCACGAATGTCTCTCTCATAATAAGCAGTGGATACCAACGACATTTTCAGTTCTCTCTTATTTTAAACGTGACGGAAAACGTAAAGCTATCCTCCGCCTTTGACAAGAGTTACTTGCAGTCGCAAAAACAAAGGGATATTTATCCAATGCCCCCGCCACCAAAGTGCGACGGTTAACCATCCATGCGTAGCCTGTCCACCGACTAAGATCTATCTCAGCGAAGGTACGCAAGCAAAGGTAACCGACGGAGACATGTGTCAACCACCGACGAGTGGCAATACACCGTCAGATCACCATCCCCTCCCGTTGCTGGCGGATGTGACGGAGCGACCGGGAGGAGAGCTCATCAGGTCACGGTGTCTGGACCACAACGGAACACAGATCTGCAGCAGACATTGTCAAGGATTTTGCTGGGAGTTGCCGGTAAGTGAAGAGGAAGTGGCCGAGTGTGTGGGCAGAGACACGTTCCTACAGCCCCCTAAGATGAAGTTACTCGGTCACGGTCAGCTATCTGAAGACTCTAGCTCGCGATCTGTCCAGACGCCTGTCGTACTGCGCTGTGGGTAGCGCTTGGCTGGACGGACGGTCTGTGACAACCTATTGATTTGTGGCTGATCTATTAGAGTGTCCGTCCGAGAGCCGTACGACGGCTGACAGAGCCTGGGGGTCGCGAACTGGTGTGGTAACCGTTACGCCCACCTGGGACGCCCGAGTCGGTACGGCACTTGCGGTGTCGTAACCGGATCGGCGGGAACCAGCAGAACGCTGTTGGACCGGCGGTGAAAGTCGGAACCGAGCACTCGCCCACCAGTGGGGCGTCTGGTCGAGCAGGTCTACCCGCTAAGGCAGCCTGAGCACGAACCAGTGGCAGGGTCCGATCAATGACCGTGGTCCGACCAGGGTGTCAGCGCAATGGCCAGTCAGAGGCGTCTTTAAGGGCGCGGAAGCCCACCTCGGTCGACTGTGGCCGGTGCAACCTAGTCAGGTCGTTTGTGTGAATCTCCGTGTTCTTCCCTCGCCTCAGAGTAGCCGCTCTTCTCCAAATGCCCGAGCCGTTTTCTATGTGTATTTGTCTTGTAGCGAACAGCAGAGTCGAGAAACGAATTGACAATGTCGCCGAAAACCGCGGTCATATGCTGGCCGTCCCTAGTACTACCAATATGCCCGCAGGCGCGGCGAGAGACAAGCTCAACGTATGAGTCACCGTCCGGCTGCCGGGAGAGCCCCTACCGCGACCTTTGTCCACAGTCATGACGTCACGACAATGGGCTCCTAAACGTACGGGCAGCGGCCGCCTCAGGGGTGCCGCCGTGACCTTTGCACGACACGTTCTATAGCGTATGGCACAGCGGTTACTAGGAAGGTTGAGGCCAGCGGCAGGCCGGTTTACAAATAACAAACAAACTTGACGCGCAATTGACAACAGGTAACAGATTGATTAATAAGGCGGTGACAATATAAATAAAAATGACAACATGAAATGACAAATCGCATAGATGACAAATCGCATAGATGACAAATCGCATAGATGATCTCTACAGTACCCCCTCGCCAGACATGTCGCGGACAAAAGTGACATGGCGATATCTTACCGGAGGTCGTATGACGCGGCCGGAGCGGGTCGTCCGTAGTATCGGCCGAGGCTGCAATGGTGCAGCGTCAGCCCGAGCGACGGCTGCAGGGCGAATTGGTGCGTCACCGTAGATCAGAAGCTCCGGGCCGCTGGGCTCATTGCTGAGCGGTGGCGCGGCCGGCGGGCCGCTGGACTGAGTACCGTGCGGCTGCACAGTCGGCAGGTCAGGCTGTCGATGACCGGATTCATCTGGCGTCTCCAGGAAGGCGGCCTTACACCGGTCGATGCTGATGACCTCCTTTTTCTGTCGACGGTCGATGGTGATGGTTTTGGTGGTCCTTTCGGTAACCGGGAACGGTCCGTCGTATGGAGCGTCCAGCGGGTAGCGGTGACAGTCCCTGCGCACGAAGACGTGTGTCGCCGTCTGGAGTGCCGTCGGGACGTACGTGGCGCGCTGGACCGGACGTGGGAGTGTCGGCCGCACCTGAGACATGGCGCGCTTCAGGTCTTGTACGAAACCGGCCGGTGATGCTGCTGAGGCTTGGCTGCTGATGAAGAACTCGCCGGGAAGCCGCAGTGAGGAGCCGGTATTGCTGCTGTTGCCTCTGCTGCTGCTGCTGCTGCTGTTGCTGCTGTTGCTGCTGCTGCTGCTGCTGCTGCTGCTGCTGCTGCTGTTGCCGCTGTTGCTGCTGCTGGACGGTCGAATGGTGCCTTGCTGGAGCATCTTGTTGAACTCGGCACGTGCGATTTGAAGGCGCTCCGGCGGGAGGCGTCGTGGCCGCTGGTACACCGGTGGACCCTTGGTGACGATGTGGTGCGTCACGTTGTGCTTCACCGGTGTTGGTCCAGGTTTTGGTGAGGTCACATCCGGGTACCGGGCGAGGACAGCTGCGAAGCGAGCAGCAGCCTGCTCCCGGACGAGACGCACTCCGATGGAGCACAGCCTTGACCGCTCGGCGCTGGCGCAGACGGTGCCGTTCCGCAGGAGACGCTGGTTGGCAACGTCCACGACGAGGTGATGTGCGGCCAGGAAGTCGGTGCCCAAGATGGGTGTGGTGACGTCAGTGACGAAGAATCGATGTTTCAGGCGGTGCTGCTGACTCAAGGTGACGTCCAGCAGGTAGGTGCCGTGCACCGCGATCGGTGAGCCGTTTGCCGCGACGAGCTGCTGGCCGACAGGAGCAGGGGTCAGCGTAGACCCGTTGGGCAGGCAGCGGCGAGGCAGCACGCTGACCTGCGCCCCGGTGTCGACTAGAAATTGCCGGTTCGTCTCCGTGTCCCTCACGAAGAGGAGTGGCGCGGCAGGAGGGGCGCCCGTGCTTTGCGCCATCAGCACGGGGCGCCTCAGTTTTCCGAGGCGATCCAGGAGCACGGCAACTTGCATCGGCGCGCTTGGGCGCCGAATCGCTGGTGGTACCAACACAGCGTGTCGTCGTGCGGCGGCGTTGAAGGACGAGCCGGTGACGGGCGGCGAGACTGGCGAGACGCCTGGCGCGGCCGGGAACGGCTGCGGTCGCGTCGCACGGCGTCCTCGAGTCGTCGGTTACTGGCCTCCAGGCGCTCCATCTTAGCGACCAGGGAGGCGATGACGGTGTCCAGCGCAGGGGTTGCAGCTGGCGCTGGGGCTGTCACTGCAGCAGCGATGGGCGGTGCCGGCTGTGTGTACGGCTGTGCCGCGATCGCTGATAGCCGTGGGTCCGGTCCGCTAGCTTCCAGGTACCGGTCGGCCGCTTCTGCCAGTGCGTCAAGCGTGCTGTCGGCTGGCAGGAGGGCGAGGGCAGCACGGACGGGCTGCGGTAGCCGTTGTTGAAATAGGGTACGGAAGAGCTCCGTATCAACCGGGGCGTCCCCGGCTGCGGCTAGCTCGTTGCGCATTGAGCGCAACAGCGCCGTCGGCTTCTGATCGCCGAGCTGCTGGCGGCCGAGCAGGGCTTGTAGTCGGTCGGCGCGTGACTGTGCCAGGCGGGCTTGGAGCGCTGCACACAGCACGTCAAAAGACCGAGATGACCGGATGACGTCCTTGACCTGGACGGCGATGTTGGCGGGGAGGTTTGCGACGAGGAGCTTAAACCTCAGCTCGTCGGAGTCGACCCCGCTGACGTCGAAAGCGCACTGCACCTGCAGTAGCCACAGGTCGGGCTCTTCCGGAGAGTATGGTGGTAGCCGGAAGCTAGCCATGGGCCGATGAGTTGACTCAGAGGCTGAAGCTGGAACGCTGGCTGGGTCTTGAGCTGCGGCGCCGGACTGTGCGCTGTCCGCGGGCATGACGAGAGGCTAAGGTCGAACAACGGAGATCACGTCGGGGTCACCAATTTGTCGTACTGCGCTGTGGGTAGCGCTTGGCTGGACGGACGGTCTGTGACAACCTATTGATTTGTGGCTGATCTATTAGAGTGTCCGTCCGAGAGCCGTACGACGGCTGACAGAGCCTGGGGGTCGCGAACTGGTGTGGTAACCGTTACGCCCACCTGGGACGCCCGAGTCGGTACGGCACTTGCGGTGTCGTAACCGGATCGGCGGGAACCAGCAGAACGCTGTTGGACCGGCGGTGAAAGTCGGAACCGAGCACTCGCCCACCAGTGGGGCGTCTGGTCGAGCAGGTCTACCCGCTAAGGCAGCCTGAGCACGAACCAGTGGCAGGGTCCGATCAATGACCGTGGTCCGACCAGGGTGTCAGCGCAATGGCCAGTCAGAGGCGTCTTTAAGGGCGCGGAAGCCCACCTCGGTCGACTGTGGCCGGTGCAACCTAGTCAGGTCGTTTGTGTGAATCTCCGTGTTCTTCCCTCGCCTCAGAGTAGCCGCTCTTCTCCAAATGCCCGAGCCGTTTTCTATGTGTATTTGTCTTGTAGCGAACAGCAGAGTCGAGAAACGAATTGACAATGTCGTTTTTTTTTTTTTTTTTTTTTTTAATTTTGTCTTCCCGGCATGCCTAAGGCAACCGCCAGGGAAGGGGAAATTACTAAGGCTGGCAATGAGCCAGATCTTTCGTTTTACTTTACTTTACTGTCAGCTATTTAATTCTGACCCAAGCAAGAGAGAGAAGCAAACTTTACTTTAATTCGGCTCATGTGGCGTCCGATTAACAAGGCAAGGGTGTCCAGAAAGGGGTAGAATATTCATACTTGCTGCTGTAAATCTTGCTGCTGATGGTGTGAGGTGTTGCAATGTGTGATGTTTGTTGTGGGATGTATTTACCAGGAAAAGTCCTAACTAGAAAAAACCTGGTGCCTAAGTCAAGGGGCAAAAACTGTCGAGTACAGTAAAAATCCCCGCAATAGTTACGTTACGTTATATCTCTAATGTGGAC